ATCTGTCTGCAGTAACACATTGTCAAGGTCATCTTCACACTTCTTGGACACATACATATCATCACTAAATGGAAGGGATAGGTCACCACTTGCGCCAGTCTTCATTTCAGTTCTGAAATCATCCTTGGCATCGAGACATTCATATCTGAGATTGAAGTTGTTCATAAGTCTAGTATGAGCAGTGCTGAATTCTTGTTCGAGGAATGCTTCATCCCATGTTTTATTAGCAGCCTTAAGATCCTTGCCACTTCTCCATGGTACAAAGAATGCCAGCATAACACTACAGTAGTATTCACGATCTCCTTGATCTCTTCTTGGGGGTGCACTCATGAAGTTGAGAACCACCCTGCTCAGTTTCTTGTTTTTCTCCATCATGAGAGCACACTTGTGTGTTGAATAAAGGGGATGGTCTGGTAAGTAGTCAAGAAGAACTTGAGATGATCTCTTAGAGCTGGATAACAGTCTTTCTGTGTCTTCATTGTAATCACTGTCCATCTCATCATGCTCAGGTTCATCACTGTTGTTCTTTGAACCGAACGAACTGTCATCCTGTTTCTTAGTGAGCTTGACTCTTGTGCACCTCAACGCCCAGTCATATAGACACATACCTTCTAGTGACTCTGGACGAAACACATAGTCAAACACAGGGGATAGACCCAAAACTCTATTACCCGCTTTTATCAATGCTACCTTGTCTGTGCTTTTGTATGCATCATCGGGATGCCAAAAGCTACGTGCCTCAGATATATAAGCTGTCCAGTAGAACACCTTGAAAGTATGGCTAGTGTAGTGGTCTTTGTGACCAAGTAAATACATACATATCATGGGTGAACCCATCTCAAGCTTTGCGCCCATCAAGTTAACTACCTTAGTCATAATCTGGCGGGCTTTTACAGTGGAGTCAACACCTGTGTTGTTTAATATGTCTGGATTACGGTTTAGGACAGCTTGGATGCATTCAAAAACAACATGTGTTTTTAGACCACACTTAGTGATGTAGTCAGATACGTAAGCCACCACTGCTTTAACTGCAGTTCCTGACATCATTGAGGTTACATCTGTGTTTGATCGGACTATATATGATACTAGTGGAGTGAATGTGTTTATCCACGACTCTAGTTTTTTCATAACTATGGAGCCTGTCTCTTTGTCTACTTTTGTATCTTCAACAATCTTCCGTGGGAAGCGGGCTTTACACTTTCCCCACTTATTATCTTTACACCCCTTATAAACATGAAGCTTGTTTTGAGTGTCATCTTTTTTTAGATACCGATCACAGTCGTGGACATTTGATTGTAATACCATTTCATCAGTTATATGTGAAAACGTAGACCACCATTCCTGCAAGATTATACATGAATCACAGGACTCATCACTACAGGTACAGCCAGATGTATAAGGAGGAATCTCAGGTACATTCAGTGTATGGTCCACATATGTGTTGTTAAGCTTTGACTTGGCTGTCCGAGCTTCAACCTCTTCTTGTGTTCCTGTCAAGAATTCACCGACATGGCAACCTTCTAACCATTCTACAATTTTCTTTTGCCAGATGCCATTTGTGTCGAGTATCTTGTTGCGTATCTCTTGTGGAGATAAGGAACCTAGAATCCACAACATTGCATGTAAGTGCAGTGAAAGGCGGCCTTGCTGTTCTACTGTGCCATAATATGCCTCGACGTCTCCATAGACTCCAGGACCATCTGCGTCAAAACGTAAAATCTCATATATAAACACCTCTACCATGAACTTGAAGAATCGGGCACATGCAACTGGATTTGATGTGACTGTTCGCATCCGCTCTTCAGCTGGCATCACAGGCTGAAAGGTCTCATCTGAACCTGCATAGTATATGCATATTGGATGTTTGATGTCAACTGGAGACAATGTGATGTACCAAATGGGGCTTCCAACATGATACATTAGGGACCATATTTCGTTTCTTTGATACTTCTTTGAAGTTGGGGAACCATTGACACCAGCTGCAATGTGATCTAAATCTCTCACTATGTCAAAGCAGTTCTTTTCCTCATCAGTTTCTGGCCTCACATGCTCTCCGTTTGCTGTGCGAGCAGCTATTGAGGCAAGTACATCTTCATCAATGCTCATGATTCTCTCAGAGATTGCTTTGAACTTGGACTTTTCTGTCAGCAGAAATGCTTTATTTGAACTTTTCATTATCTGCTCGTGGCTGAATGCAACAAATGGGAATGTTGCATCAGTTTGAAAATGTTTGTCATGATACATAAGCAACCACTTTTTGTGATATGCAGTTGACATGCGATAGACAGAACCTATGCCTCCAGAGCCGTATGGGAAGAGCCAAGGAAACATTGCAGGGTACAACTGGGGATTGTTCCATATAGATTCATACTTTGATGACTGTCCGATTGCCAGCACTTTGCCTGACTGATTGAAGTACTGCAGGGCTAATGTCTTCAATGTGCTGGTTGACATCTCTTCCATCTGAGCACCAGTCAAACCATGAATAACAAACGGACAAGGACCTTCCTCTGTGCCGTCCTCATCATCCATGTCATTGACCACAGGTGTTCCACTTAGCTTTGCTGATGTTGTTTCTTTGTACTGTATAGTCACTGGAGCGTCATCATCACTATATTGACTCAGATTCTCACTGTCCACCGACACTTGAGCGTAGTCTGAATGATTCAGTATTAACCACTCTAACGCAGTCCTCACCTTGTTGGCACGCACCAAAAATGGTGTTCTCTTTAAGTCATCTTTTTCAGGGCGCCTTGGACCTGTAAACAATATGACAAGTACCTCGTCAAGCTCAGCTTTTGAAATTGGCAGTCGAGCATATATCTTTGGGACCGGTGATTCAAATGCCAGTGCATTTGCTATCATCTTTCTGAACCCACTTGACACACGTACAAAGCAGTTACTGTACCAAACTCGCGCTATGACAAGCTTCTCAACAAACCTCAGATCTTGTAGCTCCGGTGGCACTTCACCTATCCACAATCCGCGAGCTAAAGCGTTCTTTGGCATCTGATCCTTCCGAAGAGCAGTTCGACATGTGTTGCATATTCTGCTAATTGAATGGTCAATCACTGGGCCAGGGATTGATTTGACTGGATCACGATCTGTCTTTCTGATCTGCCGTGTCACGCCTGGCATTTCTAGTGTATGAAGCAAATTCTTTACTGTCTTCAGCCTTGAGAGCTCGGTCATTGGAACTAGCTGCGCGCAAACGGAACAGCCTGCTTCTTCAACCGCAGAAGGTTCCATTCTCTTTGCACATGCAGTCACCATAGCTTTCACAGTGTATTTTGATGCTGGCAATGAGCACGTTGCGCTCTCCCACATGTTCGGGTGAAGTTCACCTGAAATGGCCGAACAACACCTGAACAACACCTGAACAAAATCCGAACATTGGCTGAATTTCTCCACCAAAACTCTTTTTTTTGTTTCAGATTTTGTTCAGGTCACCTGAATTGTTCACCTGAACATTTGGTGAATTCAGGTGAATTTGACAGGTAATGTTCACCTGAATGTTAGGTGGATTCAGGTGGAATACATTAGTACTACTTCTTGTTGCAGGAATTCTTGAATAATGGCTCTTTGTAAGTGGGAAAACTGTTCAAAGAGGTCAACAATACTTCTTCCTAAGAATATCTTTTACTCTGAACACTGTTCTACTAACAAATAGTATATTGTTACAGTGGGAATTTATCACCCAAAATAGAAGTTGTAGAGCCATCTTTTCCGACTCTGCCGGTGTAGATATATGGCGTTGGATCTGTCCAAAAACCCTATCCCGACTAATCCGGCCAAACTTGAGTGCCCGAAACATTTTTTGGTGCCGAAACATTTTGCTGGCTACCGAGCATTTGACTCAATGGCAAGCAACACTTTATTGCTCCTTATGCGACACTTTCTAAGATGTTGCCCGAACTTTTATTCATTTCCCGAACAATTCCATATGTTTGCGCAGACACTTTTTCCTAGCGAACACTTTTCTTTTGAATTGATGCCGAAGGCACTTATGAGCTGTACTGACCGTGGGATAGCTGTACACTGACTGTGGGAAAATGGGCCATTAACATGCCCTGTGCCCTTATGTTTGCTATTGCCTCGCTGTGATCGTTTCTTCTGGCAGGCCACTATGACAATAGTCACCCCAGGTATGTGTATTCATTTACACTGTTATACCACTGTCTCACACCCCATGTTGTCGGATTGATATCGTCGGCCTCCCTCTCTTGCTGGCTCCACGACAGTCAATAGTAGGTGTGTACATTCACATTCTGTTGCCACAGGCTGACCTCTCCCGCTGGCTGTAGCAGCACTTCCATGGTCGCCTCGTTGCCGCCTCCATGGCCTCGTCATCGTCGCTTCGATGCTCGCCTCGTTGTTGTCGCCCCACTGTCGCTTTGATAATCGCCTCGCCGCCGCCTCGCCGTTGCTTCAATGCCTGTGTCGCCGCCTCGTTGTCGCTTCAATGCCTGTGTCACCGCCTCATCGTCGCTTCAATGTCGCCGTCGCTTTCGATGCCCGTGTCGTCGCGTCATCGGCTTTGATGCCCGCGCCATTGCCTCATCATTGCTTCGATGTCCTCGCCGCCGCCTCGCCGTTGCTTCAATGCCTGTGTTGTCGCCTCGTTGTCGCCTCCATGCCCTCGTCGTTGTCGCCCCGCCGTCACTTCATCGTCGCTTCCATGCCCTTGTTGTTGCTTCGATGTCCTTGTTGCTTCGATGTCCTCATCGCCACCTCGCTGTTGCCATCTCAGCGATGTCCACCTTCCTTTTAGTTTTGCTGACTCAGAGTCAATATTGTGGACCTGCTGTCAAAATTAGGGACCTGCTGCCGAGATCATGGATCCGCTGTCGATATTGTCAGCTCGCTTTTAATACTGTTAACCCTACCGATATTGTTGCGGCAATGGTGATGTCATGCTGTCTGCTTCTCCTCGCTGCTCCCTTATTTGCTCTATACAATTTCATAACATGACATACATACTAGTTATAGTGGAATGTACATTAGCATGAATGAATAAAAGTTGTCGCCTTCAGTACAGCCTGGTTAATCACTGGCTTATTCCATTCAACTTGAGCGAGCTTCTCCATTACTGCTTCCTTACACCCATTGCTCATCCCCTTAATTGTTCCTGCTTTCACAATCTCCACTACATCCTCCAGATCAATCGGATTGTCGGGGTAGATGATCTTGCGGGCAACATTCCTCCACCACCAAGCAGGCCATGCAGCCTTGCATTGATCATGGGTGCTACAGGTAGGCAGATCGGCATTGGCTTCCCCTGCTTCAGTAAGATCCATGGGCTGATAAGCGATGCCTGCGCGGTACTTTTGCAAGGCCTCCTTCGCGCCTGCAATTATGACAAATAGCCCTATGCCCAACTGGTCGATTTCGGTAGATGAAAGGCTGCCCAATGACCTCCAAAGAACTAGCGACTGTATGGATGGTCTAATCCATTCATCGACTGTGAACTGTTGTGCAAGCTGTAGTCGACGGGTGGCTGGGAGCTTGAGTCCACCAAGTTCGGTAATGGCCTCGTGAGCAGCGCGGTCCATCATGAGAAAGCGGCTAGTGGCGAGAAGCATCGTATACTTCTCTTCAAGAACCGAAGGTGTTGCTCTTAATTCTGCTTTGTCCCATTCTCTACATATTGTCAACAGGTAGACTTTGAGCAACCAATGAGGAACTCACTGGAACATCCAAGCAATCGTATTTGCGAGCTCTTTCCATGGAATGTGAACCGTGAGAGGGTTTCCTCTAGAGCTACCATTGTGGCCAGGACCTTGCGGGATTCCGAACATCTCTTGAAGGACCTTCGAGTGTCAGGTCAGAAGACGAAGATGGATCGCCTGAATTTCAGTTTCACTTGAATCAATATCAATACCCTGTATATGTACACATCTTAGCAAGGACATTGCAGTAGGCAGATTGATGCCTACCTTTATCCATATGAGGGTATCAGCATCAATGGTGCTGCCAGTATCTTGATCCATCGCTTGATGTGGAGGGGGCACTATGATAGTAGTGTTCAAGTTCAAATTCAGGCTCAACTCCCGACTTCTACCTCACTTATGCTCCCCCCAATTCCTGCACGACCAACAGGCGATGCATGGCCATTCAGTCTTCTCCAGGCCTATGAACAGATTGACAATGTCTGCAGTGCAGCCAGCCATATGCTCAGGCAGGAAGCAGAGGCAAATCGGTTACGATATCATGCCGAAACATTGATTACTGAAGCTGTCCCTCTGCTTCTTGTCATCGAAGAAAACTCTGAGCAAGAAGGGATTCCAAGCAGCTGGTTGCATGCTCTCACAACTGCTGTGGGGGTTCTGATTGCTGAACTGGAGCAGGCATATAAGACTGCTTCCAAGCAGTAAGCATTTTGGTTATAACTGATTACTCTCAAGCTCACAGGTAGAATAGCGAGGATAGTAATGTCTTCATTCCACAGCCTGTAACATTGCTTCCATCTGGTGACAATACTACTGGTGGGCGGCCCCGGAAGGAGATTGATCCAGATTTCCTCCGCAATGCCCTCCAGGGCGGCCGTACGATATCAATTGCTAAACTCGCCAGACTTTTGGGAGTTTCCCATCAAACATTGTACTCACGTCTTCATGAGTATGGTATCGATCATCAGTTCTCTCAACTTACCAATAATGAGCTCGACAACCTGGTCCATCAGTTCCGGGAAGCACGGCCTGCCTCTGGTTTACGTTATCTGCCAGGGTTTCTGGCAGAGCAAGGCCTTCGTGTTCAAAGGCAGCGGACTCTGGATGCCCTGCGGCGTGTCGATGGTATTGGTCAAAAGGTACGGCAGCAGACATCAATCCAGCGGCGTTCGTACCAAGTTTCCCGTCCCAATGCACTATGGCATGTGGATGGCCATCATAAACTCATTCATTGGGGAATTGTTATTATGGGGTTTGTTGATGGTTATAGCCAGACTGTGAGTGATTATCAGATTTCACTGTATTTGTTTTATATGTTACTGGTTTAGGTCGTTGGCCTCCGTGCCAGTGATAACAATCAGGCCGATACTGCATTAGAAGTCTTTATCCAGGCGATGGGCAAGTATGGACAGCCATCCCGTGTACGTGGAGATCGCGGGCGGGAAAACAAGGGGATTGCTGTATGTATGATTTTACTCAAAGGTGCCAACCGTGGCTCTTTCATATGGGGAGTGTAAGCTGTCTGCATAGTTGATCTGGCAGTAGTAATAGTTTGCTAACCTCATTTATCTCATAGATCAACACGCAATACATGGGCAGAACGTATGTGGGTGGAGATTGGTACCCAGTTCGGACACCAATGGCGTGCTTTCTTCCAACATCTCAAGGACCTTCACCAGCTTGACCGCTTTAACCCCTATCATATTTGGCTGCTGCATGCCTTATTCTTGGAGGATATCAATACCGATTGCTGCCGTTTCCAAGCAGAATGGAACTCACATCCATTGTCACGGCATGGCCATGATTCCTCCCCAAATGTAAGCTTACTAGACACCCACTTTTACTATCTGCTTATATTCACATAGGATCTCCATCTTATGGGACGCCTAGAGCATGGCGAGTACCATGACGACTGTGCTGGGGTGACACCTGAGGAAATGACATCAGCATATGGTGTGGAGGTCCCAGATGGTGACACTCTAGCAGCACCAGCAACCTACAACACTGGTGAGGAGGAGGAGGAGGAGGAGGAGGAAGACCTAGCTGGAGCTGGTGATGGTGAAGAAGATGAAGAAGATATGTGGCGAGAGTTTGAAGAAATACTTGGTCAAGAATATGCAGCTAACTTTCTACCGAAGAGAGTGGAACCCCCGAAAGCGATATCACCTTTCACCCAGCCTGGTGATGCTATATTTGCTGAGACCTTGGCCAGAGTCCATGAAGCAGCATTTCTTCCTGGAGGCTTCAGTATACGGCCTACAGAGTGGGCTGCCAATGGGTACCCAGCCTTTGAAATGCTTAGAGTAGGGAAGAGAACAACCAAGCAGACCCGAGTGGCTCTTCCTCCAAGCATTTGGCAGAGGAAAGCTGAACTTTGGGTGCAAGGACTGCATACAATGCAAACTATGATGTATTCACTGGATAATTAGCTGAATAATCTAGCTACTGCTATGTGTTGGTAGCCAAAAAGCTTATCCCTCCAAAAAGCCCTTATGTATACCGGAATCTCCTCAGAAATAAATCTGCACTCACCTGGAATTGAACTCACAACCTCGTGGGAGGTTGCACAGTCAGGCCTTTATCAGATTCCGAGATACAACCACTACACTAAAATGCTGTTTAAAACAGAATATAATTGTTCCATCATGGCAAAGTCAAGCTGCACATGACTCATGATCGTAATCAGCAGTGATCAGCTGCCTGCCCTCAGCTTCACTGATCTACCACCACTACATACCAGCAACTATGGCAAGGAAATCTGCAAGCATACAGCACTTGAGCCAATGTAAGCATGTCAACCCTCCAGTAGGTGTGGTTGACTTTTGAGACTATAGTTATTGATCTGGTCTTATCATGGGGGGATCAAATTCTTGCTCTAACTGCTGCTGATGTCTATGGATCTTCACCTGCTACTCAGGAGATCTTACAGGCATTCCAGGCTGATCTACCTAGCATCCAATCTGTAAGTCCTCCATGTTTATTCCTGGAAACATGCTCAGCTCTGGATTCCAGCTCCAGGACATTTGTCAGAGAGGAATGAGGCCTGAGGTGTTTCTGAAGGATTCTAAAGGCAAGTTTAATGCTTTAACCCAGTAAAGTAAAGTAATATCGCATGCAGGCAGCAGGATATGCACTCATATCAAAGCCATTCTCCATGAGGCGAGCACGTTACGCTCTCCCACATGTTCGGGTGAAGTTCACCTGAATGGCCGAACAACACCTGAACAACACCTGAACAGAATCCGAACATTGGCTGAATTTCTCCACCAAAACTCTTTTTTTTGGTTCAGATTTTGTTCAGGTCACCTGAATTGTTCACCTGAACATTTGGTGAATTCAGGTGAATTTGACAGGTAATGTTCACCTGAATGTTAGGTGAATTCAGGTGGAATACATTAGTACTACTTCTTGTTGCAGGAATTCTTGAATAATGGCTCCTTTTAAGTGGGAAAACTGTTCAAAGAGGTCAACAATACTTCTTCCTAAGAATATCTTTTACTCTGAACACTGTTCTACTAACAAATAGTATATTGTTACAGTGGGAAAATATCACCCAAAATAGAAGTTGTAGAGCCATCTTTTCCGACTCTGCCGGTATAGATAGGCATTGTGAGGACTTGACTTATTAGTGAGAAAAATGTAAATTACTTGAAAAAACAGGGAAAGTTTTCAGTTTTCATTAAACTTAGTGAATACTTTTGGGAAAGACCAAGATACTTTTTGCAGGGTATATCAACCTGGTTATATGACTATTTGTAGAATTCTCATGAGCTACTTTCATTGTTCTGCAGTAGTTGATAGAAATAGTAGAATCACATAGAAATGACACCATGGATGACAACCATATTGATGAGACCATATTCAGGTGTTGTTTGTATGTGGTTCAGATGATGTTTGGGTAATGTTCATATAATGTTCAGATAATGTTCAGATAATGTTCAGGTGATGTCCAGATGCTGCTCAGATGACATTCATCTGACATTCAGATAGAATTTGGATGATCTCTGTTCACCTGAACATCACCTGAACATCACCTGGACACCATCTGAACATTATCTGAACCTGAACAAAGGCTACAAACAGAATCTGAACATTATCTGAACATTTGGTGAAATTCACCTGAACAGTATCTGAACAATACCCGAATACCCGAACATCACCTGAATGTCAGATGAACATGTGGTGGACTGCAACATACACCTGGCAATGGTGGGAATTCTACGTCCATGGGCTCGTCAGCTTTCTTGGATTTGACCGTCCGAGCTGTCTCTATGTGTTGTTTCTCTTGCAAAGGAATACGACTGAAATAGGTAGTGAACTTTTTTGTTGCCCTTATCTCAAATACATATGTGAGGGAGTAGCAAATTGCACACGAATGATTTTGAGCCATATCAATAACCAGGGACTTTGCACATTTCTTACCACACAGAATGCCATGTTTGGCTGCCACAGAGACACATTCACGAGCAGTAAGTAAAGGCAGAATGACTGCAACATCTGCTTTGACATGTAGATAAATGCTGGGAGGATACTCCAAAACCTCTATGTCAGAATACAATCCCTTGAAGATCAGTCCTAGGTTGTCAATATCTTCTACTACAGGGCCATTCACTACGAAATCCTCAAGCTCGCCATAATGGATAACACGAGACAGATGGCCGCCGATCGTGCGGCGACTGCCATCGAAGACTCTCACTGGAGCAGTTTGGTCGAGAAGAAGCCGCGAGGCTAGGGCCAACAGGCCAATACTGATGCATGCAATCAAGACATATGCTGCGAGACATTTCAGAAAATGGGACGTACCCCAGACTTGTAGGAAGACATTGCAGGGCAAGCCGTGCATAGTGTGGCATGGCCCTCCCAACGTTGCACTGGGAGACTCGACGACACCGTGCGACTTGACGACACCATGAAAACCCGGCACAGCGGAAAACCCCTCCAACAGCGAGCTGTTGAGGGCTTCGCAAAAGGGTGAGTAAATATCTGCATAGAAAAGAAAACTGGATCACTCACTAGGGCCGCTGCTTTCAGATCGATGTCCAAGAGACGACGGCCTGCCGCCCATTTGGCAGAGTGCGTCCTCTTCTGGATGTACACTGGACGGACGGCTAGGCGAAATGTGCTCGGCGAAGGGAGCCCCGAGTCCAGGGGCGTGTGTGGGAAGGAGGACGTGCAGCGCCTGGTCTTGGCCTGCTGACGGATGGGTACTGGGGCACTCCAGAGCCGAGCAGCCTGAGATGCCACAGTTAGCAAGGAAGGATGTGGAAGGGTGACGCGCGGCGCGTACGAGACACGTACGGAAAGAGGGTAGACTCTGTCCACGAGGGGGCAGGCCGGGGTCGTACAGAGCGGTAAGAGACCCTACGCGACAGCAGATCAGCGAAATGAAGCACGGCAGAGCGGTTGACAAACCGGCTACAATCCCTGAATCCAAACAGGTCTGAAGGCGCACAGAGGCGCATGGGAGGTGGGTCTCTGCTTAGAGGTCAAGAGGGGAGCCCGACGCTGGCGCCAGCGAAACGCACCTGACGACGCGCAGAAAAGGAGTAAGTTAGCGGCGAATTTGCGAGATACGGTAGCTGCACGCATGTCAGGCGATTATTCAAGTTTGTCGTTTGCTGGATCTCGCGGAATGGGGCGCCGACAAGTTGAACCAGTGCGGGAGACCCTCACATGACGGGGAAGTCAAACTGTCACATGTTCGCACACGTGATTGATAAACAAGCCACAGGCGCTCGCCATCAACACCACCAGCCAACCACCTGCGCCACGCGATGCCGCCTTCTACAGGGAGACACGGTGAGTACACGTCCGAATGCACACTACGCAAACACAGCGCTCTTCCGCGCCTGTTGTCCAGTTTGCCTCACCCCTGGGGCTAGTGGTCAGCAGGCGTCGGAAGCGCGTTGTGCATCGCTCCATTGCCTTTGCCCTTCGCTGAACCTTTGCACATCTAGGTCTAGGCGATGTGCTCTGCCCGAGGCGCAAGGTGAGACGCCGGGCTCTGCTCTGCCCTTAAGCGCGATCTGACCCCTCGAACCTAACAGCTTCGCTCAGGGAGCGAGTTCAGCCCGTACACAATGGAGATCGACTTCGCATCCCTCCTCAAGAATGTAGAAAATTCCTGCGACCCCAGCCCCTTCTGCCGTCCTGTCGAGGGACCCGCATGGCTTCAACCTCAGCCCAACGCGCATTGCGACGCGTCGCCAGCAGACGCGCATCGAGCCACGTCGCCAGCAGACACGCATCCAGGCGTGTCGCTGGCAGGTATGCCTTACGACGCATCCTGCACTAAGAAAACTCCAGGAGCGCGCCCCTACAAGGCGTACAAGAGGAAAAAGGCCCGAGAGGACGCCTACAGGCACGGCAAGCGCGTTTCCTCTGCGAAGAAGAGGGTCGCCGCCATGTCGTCCGCAATTCATCACAGAACCACCCTCAGCAGTGGCAAGCTCCCAGCCGCAAGGGACGGGTACACCTCCAAGAACAACACCCATCACCCCTCCAAGGACTCTGCCCACAACTGGACCGTGCAGGAACTACTCGAGGAGGGGTTCGATCTGATGCAATGGGACGGATGGTGAGCACGCAAACTGGTAAGATGCGAGCCCAGCTGACGAGTGGATGACCCTAGCACCCCGCGGCCGCTGGTAGACTCCACTGGGCGCATCTTCGCAGTGCTCGCCGGCAGGCCCAAAGACAAAACCTTTGAGCAGGACTGCCAGGCTGTTTACACCAAGATGCAAACTGAGCTGCTCGGCTTTGATCTGAAGGAGACGGAGTGCGAGCATCGACGCGGAAGCTTCCCAGCGCTTGCCGTAGGCGTATCCTATGGAAACGGACAGAGAGAGCCTGCAAGGCTGGCTGCTGGAGAAACTGGCCCCAACGCCGAGGGACTTTGCCGCCTGCTGAACGACCCCGCCGTCCAGCGCGTGGCGTCTTACGGAGACTCCGCATTTGAAATGTGGGCTCCCAAGCTCCATGCAGGGTCAGCTCGACAAGATGTACACTGCCCTCCCTCATCTTCGCAGGAATTTCCTAAAGTCAGTCTTCCCTTGCGCCACTTTCAATTTTGGGCCTAGGGTACAGTCCATCCGTCACCGAGACACGTTGAATCTCGCGCATGGCTGGTGCGGCATCACAGCTCTGGGTCGGTTTGATCACACCAGAGGGGGGCATCTGATCCTGTGGGACGCTCGGGTGGCTATAGAGTTTCCGCCTCATTCCACCATCCTCATACCTTCGTCAGCAATCCTGCACTCCAACGTCGCGGTCGACAGCGAAGAGGTGCGCGCCTCGTTTGTTCAATACTGCGCAGGAGGAATCTTTCGCTGGGTGGACAACGGCTGCCGAACACAGGCAGCTTTTGAAAGAGCAGACCCCGTCAGCTATGAAAAGAGTATGGAGGACCGACTGCACGGCTGGGAGAGGGGACTCAAAATGTTCAGTTTACTTTGCGAGGTACAGCAGTAGAAGGAATTTGTTTTTTGATTTTACGCAGTTTTGCAACAAATGTAATCATCATTTCCAGAAGCAAACCGAACAACTGTTATGGACCGTGTCGAGGGGCCTCCTGACTCGTCCGCACAGGGGCGCGGGAGCGCGGGCGGAGCGCGGGAGCGCGGACGCGCGGACGAGCGGAGCACACGGGACTTGGCTTCAGCTTTGATGCTGCGCCCTCCTAGCCCTGCGGTGTCCCGATTTCGGAGAGAGCAAGGTGAGAGGCAGGCTCCGCGGAGGAGCCCGCAGCGAAGACTTAGAAGGACAAGTGACGAAGAAGGAACTAAGATTCAGAGTGAGGAATACATGTCTACTAGTGCTACTATAAATACTAACTAACACATGTATGTAGTGAGGCTTAGTATGTAAGTACACATGTAGGTGAAACATGTAACAAGTGAATCCAAGTGCTGCGCACCATGCATAGGCCGCGAGGGCGGAGCCTGAGGGGCTCCGAGGGTCCGAGTATCCGAAAGGGGCGTAGGGGGGAACCCCTAAGGGGGCGTGAGGACTGGTATGTGACAACAACATGGGATGTAAGTAAGTTCAACGTCCAAGACCGACGTTCAAGAAAATGCCTGTGCCTGCGCGGCAGCGGCAGCGCTCGCACGGAGGGAGTTAATCTTCTCCAGCGTAACGATGTTGCGAGGAGAGCGGTGCTCCAAGCAAGTTCCCAGCAGGATGGAGAAGATCAGGTTGAAGGACACCTGAGTGGCGTTGAGGTTGTCAGAGGGTTTGAAGGTTCCCATGGTAAAGGCGACCAGGGCCACCTTGTACTGCTCTGCAGTGGCAGGCGTAATCTCAGCAGGACGGCTGTTATCGTGGGCTCGACCAGGAACCGAAACTGGAGCACCGTACAGCGGCATGCTGGACAGGCTTGCCCACTGTTTCTCCTCCAAACGGAAATCGCCGTATCTGCTCCGGCCGTTGTACACCGGAACTTCAGCAGGAGGGAGGTGAGTCACACATTTCAGGAGAATGGAAAGCAAGGACTCACTCTTATCGTAAGGGCCGTAAACATGAGGATACCTCACATCGACGGGTGTGCGGGCAGTCGTCCTCCGCGGGGTTCGATGCGGTTCAGCAAACGAGAGTGCGTCTTGAGCAGTCTTCCCAGGAGTGCGTGGGGTGCGTGCATCTGTGGAACCTAGGAAGCTCTCACAACACTGCTGCAGAAAAAGGGAAAGAACACCTACTGTTTGATTTGCCCTTCAGAGAAGTGAACTGAAGGGAAAGGGAGGTCATGTATGCATAGACGGAGTCGAGGTTGAGGACCGAGCCTATAAAAGAAGAAAACAACTCAAAGACTTCGTTGAATACCCAGCCGGTGAGCTTCAGGTGCACGCCGTCTCCCCACTTCTCGTTGATGACCACAGGGGCAAGCAGGTTGCATTCCTTCACAACGATGGGCATGACGAAGACCGCAGGGTTGCCTTTGTTGACGCCAGAGCTGAAGACCACCTTCTGGCCAACGACGTGGAACAATTTTGGATCAGCGGTCAAAGGATTCACGTAGACTCCCAGTCCGCGGAAAAGGAGCGAGTCAAAGATGGGGCTGGCCAGAAGATAAGTACAGCAGAGTGCAGGAAGGAATGGGAGACGTACACCATGGCGTACTCGTTCTTCATCTTGCTCAGGACAGTCTCTATTTGAGGCATTTTTGCTGGCGCCTCATCCCGGGCCGTATACTTTGGCCTGAGCTCGCTGAACCTTGTTCACAAGTCAACAAGGCGCAAAGGAGGGTAGGAACGAGAAAGCTGAAACTCACTGGATGTTCTGAATCCTGCCGCTCGATTTGAGGTAGTCAAGGATGCCTGCGAGGATGGGTGGGATACTGGGGAAGTTGATCACATCCACCTCTTGCAGCGTCTCCTCAGCTTGCGAGGCGACTGGGTGTTCATCCACGTCATCGATGTCTGAGTCCATATAGAATATGGGGTTATCCCTGGCACGCGCTGAGCATAACTCAAGGGGAAGATAAAGGGGGCTTACTGAGTGCCAGTGCCATGGGCAGCAGCAAAGACGTCTGCAGAAGGGCCATCAACGGCAGCAACCACAGGCGGTCGGACACAGTCAACGGAGGCGTTTCCCTTGCCTCCCTTGGCCGGCGCTCCTGCGGTAGAAGACTTGGGGGCTTTCTGAGCCACGCGCCTCGGAGGGGGGGAGTCGTCCAGCCAGTCACCAACGGCATCGTCCTGCAACCCACCGTCGTCTTCATTGTCTCCGTCCACGGCCTCTTCCGCCTCCAGATCAAGCATTGCCAGGACGCCGCTCGGTCTGGGTGTATCCGGCCAGAGCTCGTCCTCTCCACCGTCCGAAAGGGGAGGAGACAAGGCAGGAACGCCTTTAGAGGGGATGTCAATAGGAGAGGTCTTGGAGACCTTGTCAACGGAGTCTCTACGCGCAATGGGACGAATGCTACAAGGCCAGGCCATTAGTCGCCCTCCCAGTCACAAGATTGAGTACTCACCGCTTGGCAGGATTTGCCCGCCTCCGATCTCTAGCGGCGTTGGCACTTGAAAGCGACTGCTTCGAGGCCTTGATCGTGGACCTGGGAAGAGTCAGCAGGAAAAACGGTGAGGTAGAAGCAGGGCGCATGGGGGGGAGGGGGAGGGGGAGGGAGTTGGGGTGGGGGACTCGTGCCTGCACAGAAAAGGTGAGCGCCGCGCCTCTCGACGGAAGGGGCGAGAACAGCACACCTCCGTTTGAACCCAGCCCGCTTGGAAGGTGTGGAGGCCTCGACCTCCGGGGACGCCTCTGCCTCGCCTCTCGTCGCCACCGGCCTATGAGCCTTCTTTGGGGAAACGACGACCTCAGCGTCGACATCAACAGTGCCAAAAGACAGACGCCGAGAGAGCACAGAGGAGGGTGCTAGGTTGGAGCTACAAGAGCAACAGTCAGCACCGGATAATGAGGCGAGCACAAGCCAAACCTAATAGCAACTGCAGGCAACTCGGATGGCGCCTCGCGTTTCTTGGGAGACACCCTCACGGCGCGTGGAGTAGGAGGGACGGAAGGAGCCCTGCATTGTGCTGTAAGTGAAGGAAAAGAACAACAGAGAGGAGGCGTATGGAGGAGACGTGGGAGGAGTCACATCGACATCGATGGCCGCTTTTGCAGAAGGCCTTCGGGCTCGTACAGACGTGCGGGTGCCACGGCTGTCAGCAGCAAACAAGGGAGTCGACAAGGTCAGCGCATGGATTGGCGTAACGCAGGCAGGCCAGAGCAAGAAAACAAGCACGCACCTAGATGCTTTGGGAGGCATTGCATACAAGCGAACAGAGGGGGGAGTGAAGAGGTTAGGAAACTGTTGGTAAACGAAGGGCTGGCAGGAGCGACTTGTTTGAGAGATTTACTGCGGCCGTTCTCTGTACTTATAACTGCGCCGTTGGCTTGGAACTGGACGGTAGACCTCGGAGATTGGGAGATACAACAGAGAGCAGGCGCGGTTGGAATCATGCACACAGCAACACACGAAGGAACTCTGACAGAAAAGGGGGGACACGGGAGCGTTGCAAGAGACGTCGACGGCGAGGTGCACCCAATCTGAGGAAAGGAAGGGCGTGCAATTCAAAAAAAAAAAAGGAATCGAAGGGAAAAAACGTACAACCCGACCGACGAGGCGCTGCAGATCGACTGCAGCGGGACAACACCAAGACGGTTGACTACATGCTACCTCAACGAAGTAATTGAAACCATTGAGTTAACCGTAGCCACGAAGGAGGCAAGAACTCTCGGCGCCTTGCGGAAACGCCACTCACGTGAACATATGTGCCTCACACCCAGCCAACCAGTCGAGCACCTGCACCCGCTCGACGGCACGTACCTGAAGCCAGAAAGCTATAAAGACAGCTACGTTTGCTTGAAAATGTAGGACAGCATGGACTCGTTCTACGACAAGGCAAAGGCAGGTAAGTCGCACAGACTCGGTGTCTCCCTCGGGCTCCACACTCCAGAGCTTACCTGAGCTAATCTTGCTGCAGTTCAAACCCTCGAGCAACTCATCGCGGAAAGGACCGAAGCCGCCTCAAGCCCGCAGATGTATCGAATGGATTCGGTATGTCCCGTCAACTGTAGTTGACCGTTGCTGAGGCAGGAGTATTCTGTGCAGGAAGCAACCGAAAAGTTCAACCTCAGCATCCGCAGAGAAGTGTCGGACACGGCGTCGAGGTTAACACAGTGCAACGAAGATACCGGAGAGGCGGAAGAGGCAACGGTCGCCATTCAGGGCATCATATGTGGCGCGAAGCTCCCGCCTTTTGAAACATGGTCGAGGTAAGCTCCATTTTAATTCACAGATCGTGCTGAAACTCAAAACGACTCAGCCGCCCAGAGGACGCGAAACGCTTGGCACACTCCCGACAGAGCGTAACGCTCACGGGATTAGGCTCGCAGAGCTTCGAGCACATTGTCGAGAATTGTCGCCGAGCATACTCCATGTTCAGCCGATACACACCAAACGCGAGACTGGTCCCATCCCCCGAGTTTTTAGGCAGGCAAAGAGTCGGTGGCAGCGACGATACCGACGAATACTCCACGATCACTGCCAGCAACCGCTTTTTCACGCCTTCGAAGCAAGCAGCTGGCCTGACAGTCGTCGACATTAACTCCGAACTCGACCCCCGAGGGATTCTTGAAAAGGTGGACAAAACTAAATGGCTGCATACCGAAGACAACGCCGTGGACTACTACGTATTATCCACCGGGGACAACGGAAGCAGGCACCTCCCCACCGCTCCAATCGTCTTTCAGATCGGCGATCTAGTCGAGCTGCAAGCCTCCTTGATCTGCATCCCGAACAAGGGAAATTTCACCGTGAAGCTCATTCTCAGAAGCATGATTCTATTGAACAGCGAGCTAACTACAGTACGTCACCCATACTCTGCATACACTTTCTGTCCCACAAAATAACTTTGCAGCAAGCTACCACCGCAAGGACATTGATTGGCCCAGCTGCCACACCGGTGCTGAGGCGTCTGAAGCGTCGCAACCCGTACGCCGTTGACATCAACACAGAAGCCACGGCAGTGCCCCGTACCCTAGAATCGACGCAAACAACAACGACAAGAGTGCCAGCGTCGCGGTAGATGCAGTGGTAGACATCGCCGAAGACGCCGACACAGACAATAGCGGGAGGGATGAATGCATGGACAATTGAACAATGTATTTCGTAGAACAGAACACAGATGTAGACATTGACATAGACTTTGCCGGTACACGAAATAAAGCCAGTTGAATCAAACTATAACGCCTTGGGAACCTCCACAGAGCTAGTGTCGCGGCGGAGGCAGAGGTCTAAGTCTGCAAATACTGGCGGATGGGCTCTAGGCAGGAGCTGAGCAGGCAGGCTAGGTAAGGAGCAAGCCACGCACCGAGGGCGACGCCCAAGACAGCAAAGCGAATGGTAGTCGACGCGGCAGCCTTGTCGATGTGCGTCTTAACAAGCAAGGAGTGAATATCAGCAGCAACCAGAGACAGGACAGGAAGTCACCAGAACGAGGCAGCGAGTCTGTGCGACGACGAGGCGAGCTTGCGCCGAGTCGAGGGAGTTGGAAACCCAACCAAGATGATTCTCTGCACGACGTCGCAAGACTTCGTCGTTCAACGTACTGCCCAAAAAAAAAGAAAAAGAAAAGGTGAGGGGGGAGCAAGGTGGAGGGCGCAACAACGCACGAGAGGTTTCCTGCAGCGAACGCCTCGATCAGGATGTTGGTTGTTGTGAACTGAACATTGCGAAGCTGCTGGTGATCGAGAAGGTTGGGCTGGCCGTTGTACATTGGAGAAAGAACAATTTGCTAGGATCTGGAGTGGAAGAGTCGACGAGGGTGGGGGAAGAACAGCACAGAGGGCAGACGACACTTTATATGCGTCGAAAGGAGCTGCGTATGATGCGAGGACAGAAAAAGGCGGCAGCGAGGGCAACATGTATACTCGAATTCGATACGCGGAAGGAAGCTGCGAAAGGCCACAGGTCAGATTTACTGTGAACGATGGGAGCGTGTTGCAACGCCACTGCCGCATATTCTCACACGCTGCGGCACCGGTACTCCCATACATGACGTACCACGGACAGTCCACGTAGAACACGGACCTGTCGGGCAAAGCTTAAGTCAGATCGACGATCTGACGAACCGGCAACCGGCTACCTGAAGTAGCCACCCTCTTTAGGAAGCGCCCGTGCGGTTCTGCAAATTAAAACGGATCCTTACATTTCATTTCAGGACCCGTAACTTCTGGTATATGAATCGCTTTACTGTGTGGCCTGATCCTGAGCCGGTACGTCAGAACACCTTGGACACTCCCTTCGAAGAGACCCCTACCATCGACGGGGAGAGCGACAGCGAACGCGGCTGCAAACAAAGACGCGAACACTGCGAGCTTCTTTGGGACCATCGTGTGCAAAGCAATGAGGACGAACGGTAGATTTGAATCTCAAGGCTGAGGGTCGAGGGTCGAACGAACGATAGTCATCAGGGGCACAAACTTCTGCTTAGATAGCCCGCTGCGCTGCTCTACTTCGCCGAATCGGATCTTCCCAATGTCTCGCTTTGAAAACGAGGGTGCTCGACCATAATTCCCCGCTGCTTCCTTCTAGCTCCGTCTATCAAGAGTTATGAGTAATGAGTAAGAAATTCATAGTATCAAAATCTCAGGATATCCACTTATCTGATCCCTTTCTTGCTTTAGAGCTTCGAATATCTTCTTTTGGTGTCCTTTCACCCATCCCTTGGGTTCCAAAGCGGGAACCCTCTGCTTTGCTTCCCACTGATTCCAGCTCGGTCTGTCAAGAGTTGTCACCGGTGAGTCTTGGGATAAATAAAGATTTCATTCATCTCCAGATGATCTTGTCGCTTTCTCGCTTCAGCATCTCTCCATCATAAATTCCCCTTCACGACCTCTTTATCTTTCGTGCCACATATCGGAATGGAACAATCGAGAGAACTAGCCAGGTGTGAGCGGTGCTGATGGAAGGCGTTCCCTCAGACTTTGGGTTATGATATAAATTTGGTAAATATTGAGAACTCTACATGAATTCAAGTTGTGAACCTAAAAGGAACGTCGAAAGCCGCGTTTGGGTAGGGGCCAGAATGCCGTCCCGAATGAATGGAAGTGATTTGGAAGGTTCAATTCCAACGTACATATCGATCTAGGTCTAAGAGAACGTAATTTGTGAGATGGAAACAATGGAACAAGGACCACCAAGCGATGTATTACTTCTCCTTCCTCTTTTAAGAGCTCTTTTTTGAAGTAGGGATGTCGAGGGGAAGAGAGGAAATATGCTTCTCAAGGATATGATTGTAATCATTGTATGCACCATGAAACAAGGAAGTGAATTTCGCCTCGCACATCTCGATTTCCTGCGAATAGAAAGCGGTCCGGACGAATAATTCGTGTAATAGTCCTCGGAAAGGCCTGATGTGCCGAGAGAGTTTGAGATCTTTGTAGGAACAGTCTCGCCCCTGCCAATACAGAAAGATGCTGAACTCGACTTTGTTGAGATTGTCACTGTTCTTTCACCTGTCTTCACGTCTCCTATGTACTCCTCTGTACTCCCGTACCTTTGTTCTTCGTGCAACAACTCAAGAAATCGGGGAATCACCTTTGTTAATATGCTTATTGATATATCGCCAGGAGTGTGTATGTTGCAGTCCACCACATGTTCATCTGACGTTCAGGTGATGTTCGGGTATTCGGGTATTGTTCAGATACTGTTCAGGTGAATTTCACCAAATGTTCAGGTAATGTTCAGATTCTGTTTGTAGCCTTTGTTCAGGTTCAGATAATGTTCAGATGGTATTCAGATGATGTTCAGGTGATGTTCAGGTGAACAGAGATCATCCAAATTCTATCTGAATGTCAGATGAGTGTCATCTGAGCAGCATCTGAACATCACCTGAACATTATATGAACATTACATGAACATTACCCAAACATCATCTGAACCACATACAAACAACACCTGAATATGGTCTCATCAATATGGTTGTCATCCATGGTGTCATTTCTATGTGATTCTACTATTTCTATCAACTACTGCAGAACAATGAAAGTAGCTCATGAGAATTCTACAAACAGTCACATAACCAGGTTGATATACCCTACAAAAAGTATCTTGGTCTTTCCCAAAAGTATTCACTAAGTTTAATACTGACCATGGGAAAATTCTTGTTACTGTGGGAACATCAGGAAACTCTTTCTTCAGCATAATGAGTGTTTAGCATTGACAAAACAACTGCTGATAAATGTAGTAGACCTCTTAAACAGTCTATACAGTAAGAAAACTGAAAACTTTCAAGTAATTTACATTTTTCTCACTAATAAGTCAAGTCCTCACAATGCTATCTATACCAGCAGAGTCGGAAAAGATGGCTCTACAACTTCTATTTTGGGTGATATTTTCCCACTGTAACAATATACTATATGTTAGTAGAACAGTGTTCAGAGTAAAAGATATTCTTAGCAAGAAGTATTGTTGACCTCTTTGAACAGTTTTCCCACTTACAAAGAGCCATTATTCAAGAATTCCTGCAACAAGAAGCAGTACTAATGTATTCCACCTGAATTCACCTAACATTCAGGTGAACATTACCTGTCAAATTCACCTGAATTCACCAAATGTTCAGGTGAACAATTCAGGTGACCTGAACAAAATCTGAACCAAAAAAAAGAGTTTTGGTGGAGAAATTCAGCCAATGTTCGGATTCTGTTCAGGTGTTGTTCAGGTGTTGTTCGGCCATTCAGGTGAACTTCACCCGAACATGTGGGAGAGCGCAACGTGCTCCCAGGAGTCCTTTAAGCCACTCTCGCTCATTTAGTATAAAATTGTCCTGCAATAAGACACCCATACACCCAGACTTTCAAACCTTCAATATGGGTGCCAACTTGAACACTTTGGCCCAAGCCGTGATGAGCGTACTCCGCCTATACTCCACCCACCCCACTTCGTCATATCGCTCACGCAACAACGCAGCGGCAACTGTATCGAGCATCAGCAGCAGCTAACGATGTTATCATTACTTTCTGGACCGCAATACTTGTGGGTGGAGTATTAACCGGAGCATTTCTGGGGGAGGAAGAAAAGAGCGTCTCCTAGAGCTTCTCCGAGTCCTCAAACGGCAGTGGCAACGAGGGCCACACAAGCAACTCAAGGAGGGCGGGCTTAGGAGCCAGGGTAAGCTCATTTCGCACATGCTTCCGGATACGCCCAGTGTGTGGGATTTCGTAACAAGTACGTTTAACTCCCCCTCAAAGGACTTTCAATAACTGATGCTGCTTGGCTTTAGAGTACTATGACCGAGACAACAAAGCTGCCAACGCTTCAGGATGATTGTCACTCGGGCAGCCACGGTCTGCGACGCGACTACCTTGAACCAATCACATTTACAACTATCGGAATCACTCATGCATAGCAAAGTGGGACGGTGTCAAGTTGTTTGCAAGTTGTTGAAAGGAACAAACAACTTAATAAATATATGATTTACAGCAAGGAAAACGAGAGGTGCTGCGTATCGCGCCGCTGTTCATAGAAAATCTCTAAGAGCTACCGTCTCTGGCCCACCAGATTCCCGCATACCAATCTCCCAGTCTATCATTTCACACAAAGATATCAGTCGACGAGATGATGTAACCGAAGAAGGGTGACTCACAGCTGTAGATGATTGTAACGGCCATCAGGATGCCCGTGCCAGAGCCTATAGCGCCCAACAAGTCGGCCGACACAGACAGCAGGCCAAGGATGGCGCCGCCAAGCGCAGCGGCAGTCGGGATCACACGCTTGAGCTCTTTATACATCGAGCCGTCACGGTGCCCCGCCATCACCAAGCCCTGGTCCTTAAGCTGCTTTGCCACCTCGCGCGGACCCGAGCCCGAAACTTCGATCCAGGTCTTTGAGAACAACGCGCAGGTGGTTGAGATGAAGATAATGTAGATAGCTGTGTGGATGGGGTCGAGGATGGCTTCTTTTACAGTGTGCGGAGGGGACATGTAGTATGCAATGCCGGAGGTGGCTGCGAGTTGAGGGGAGTCCTTATAGGGCTTAGAAAGGAAGCAATCAGTGTCAGGCTCTCACAAAACGTGTCATGTATCCATGATCGACACGTACCTCCCATACACCAAGAAGGCGAACAAACAAGTTATCAGGGAAGCGCGTAGCGAGCATCTGCGAAACGACAAACACATTCGACGTAAGTGCTGACTCGAGCATAATCGGCATATTTGACGTGTAGAATAGCTTGACGGGGTACGAGCCATGCTGGCCCCGGAATTCATTCGACTTGACGGGAATCTCGAGGCGGAAGCCCTGGAGGTAGATAACCACCGCAAAAATAACAACCGTGGCGATTAGGTTCATGACATTGGGGAGTCTGTCGGCCAGAACACCTCTTGAAGTGCGCGTCCCTTGTCGTTCCAGGAGAAGAGGAGGTGGACGAGGGCGACGACGGCACCCTCAAACTCGGGACCACGGCCGGTGTTGACTGTCGTGGGGGAGAATGCCTTCCAAACGATTGATTCACAGATGTTGGTGGCAATGAAGAGCGAGATGCCTGAGCCGAGGCCGTACCCCTTTGTTAATGTTAAAAGTTCGTCAAGGAGAGTGACGATGAGAGCCGCCGAGACGAGTTGGATGATAAGCAAGCAAACACCTGCACCAAGGTCCTTTGGCTGACCGTATAGTCCTGTCAGCACGTATACGGTTGCTTGGCCAAGAGATATGATAATCGCAAACACTACAGACATTCCCGCATCAGCGCTCAGCATCAATGTATTCTTCCCCCCATCAAAGAGAAAGGCGGAAGGCGTACATACGTTTCTGTGCACCTGCGAAGAGAGCTCTGTCCTCCTTGAGTGAGAAATCTACATCAATCAAGTTCGCGCCCACGAGCAGCTGCATGATCATGCCGGAGGTGACAATCGGTGAGATACCGAGTTCCATGAGTGTTCCACGGTTCGAGGCTAGGATAACGCGCATCCAATATAGAGGATCTGAAGAATCGGAGGACATGATGCCGTACAGGGGAACCTGCGAGCACACAAGGAAGATGAGGAGGGTGACGGCTGTCCATAGAATTTTCTGGTTGAAGGGGACTTTGCATTCGGGGTCGGAGACTTCAGGGAGGATTGGGAGGAACGGGCGGACGAGGAAGCGGACTAGGGCAGATAACTAAACAGTGACCATGATGATTTGCCAGTCCGACCGGTTGAAGTCAGCGTTCCTCTGCGCCGGGCGCTTCATGTCAAACTCCGTGTCACTTCTCCACTGCCAGTGATCTCCTAAAATCATGTGCGGTCGGTATGCGTTACCTGTAAGTCGGCTCAGTTACTCTCAAGTCCATTGTCCTGACATATACGGCGCCTTTAGCATCAACAAGTCCACCGCGTCGCGGAGCATCCAGCGCACCCAAATGTCGGCGAATGGATTGATGAGGATCGGTTCGTTCCTCGGTACAACATCGCACCACGAACATACGCTCCTGTCATTCGCCGGCGTTCCCTCTCCGAGTCTTCCTCACAGTCGAGCCAGAGTGATAGCCGTGAAGACCTGATCATGCAAACGATGCGCTGGGGACTTGTCCCGTCGTAGAGCGAACATGAAGACAAAACACTCAGTACGACCAACGCCAGGTCAGAGAATTTCGTCGAAGGCAGCGGCGGCATATGGGGATCTATCAAGGGGAAGAAGAGGTGTGCTGTTGTAGCTCATGGGTGCGTTATCCCGCCTGCAAACAACCCCATGTCGCGCTGAACGGGTGGGATCAACGGGCAGATACTATGAATGGTTGACGAAAGGCAAGGACAAGCTCCCACATTTCATCAAGCATACAGACAGCCCGCTGATGCTCATGGCTGGTTTGTACGATTGTGTGACGCTAAAAAGTGCGTTTACCGTCTACGATGTGTATCATTGACTGGAATATTGTATGCAGATTCCGATACACCTCTCTGGACGTTCACCATCGTTACGACGCCCGCAAACCCATCCCTGAGTTGGCTGCACGACAGACAACCCCTCATTCTCTCATCCCCGGAGGCTCTCCGCACATGGCTAGACACCTCGTTGCAATCATGGACGCCCGAGCTAACAAAACTCGTCATCCATCCCACCAACTCCAGTACCGACAGGGAAGGCAAGCTGGAATGGTGCGTTGGTATTTCTGCACCATATGGATGAATTGACCGTGTCTTTTCTCTCTCGTATATTTCACTCATATTGCAGCTATCAAGTGCCTAAAGAAGTCGGCAAAGTTGGGACCGAATCGCCCTCGTACATCGAACCCGTGTCCCAGCGGAAAGATGGCATTGAAGCCATGTTCGCCAAGGCAAAGTCCAAATCAACTGCGTCGTCCCAGCAGCCCTCAGCTCCAACAGAACATACTATGACTACTACAGTTGTCGCCAAATCGTCTCCGCCTTCCCCACCTTCACAGAAACGAAAACGAACTCTGTGCCCCGATCCCGATCTGAGTTTAGTATCAGAAGTGATAGCGCTTCCCGAAACAGGCCCGTCGAAACGTTCTTTCAAGGTACGGTTCAATTCTTTCAATCGTTCCCCTCTGCTTCTATCTTGCTCGCTGTTTGATACTGATACTAACTAAGTATCGAATACCTTTGACTATACGACGGACTAGCCGGCCCCGTCGTTGCCACCCACCCCAAAGAAGCCAAAGAACACCTCGTCGAGCCCCAAGAAAACCAAGGCCAAGGCGGATAGCTCCAGCGGATCGGCGAAGATTACTTCCTTCTTCAAGAAGGAATAACTCTGCCAACACTATGCGCCAACCTATATCTTCCGTGGTCTCTTAGTATCTACTCGCTCTTCCGCTGCCACCATCATCTGTACAATTTCTTTGCTTCCACGGCTCTCCTTGTCTCACGTTCTCTGGATCTACATGGTCCTGCGCCTCGAATCAACTACAAACCCATTTCGCAGAGGATGGATTTATTGAATGCCGTGCTACCCCTGTGAGCAAGCAGGGGGCTGCCCAACGGTTTGACTGACTGTTGAAGGGATTGCTGCACCTAGCATGCTCATGTAGGAACTGGCCAGGGAGGTTGACTTGGGGAACAAGGACGATCTTCGACGCTGTCTGTGTCTCTGGATCCACACAAGTTCAGTTTCGGTCGTCTGGAAGCTCTGTATCATTAATGTTTGCGCTGTACATGGAAATTAGAGCTTCAACCTCACCATGCATGTACCCGTCGAATTGTGGAAGTCCTTGCTCAACCTCGAGTGTTGTGCAAGAGCCTTGTCGAGCGATATATACGAGCAGAGGTTTCCACAACCGTACCTGCTTGCAAGATTTGACGGCACGCAAGTAGAATCCTAAAGCAACCATAATCTCGAGCTCCAGTCCGAGTCATCAACACACTATCGTCAACGATGCACAATCTTCGGGCTTTCACGCTCGACGGCAACAGAGACGAGCTTAAGCTTGAATGACTCGCGGTATCGGCACGGCTCTGTGGGGAATGTACTTCGCACCAGGTAGAAACTGCATGCCAGCACCAAACTACGAGCACAACCGACAACAGTACAAGTCTTCGCGCATCACGGCTGGGTGGCTGGAGCTTTGGATGATGATTTTAATTGCTACTGGACGACTGGCGAGACCGAAAGGACCAGTTGCTATATAGATTTCTTGCGACGCAAAAATGCATCATGCGCAGCCCATGAAATATGTCTCCCTAGGCAGAACACTGACAGTGGCAGTACGGGAACGGCATCGGTATTAGCAAGACTTTTCTCGTCCAAGGAGGAAACGCACTCACCGGCGGGGTCCCCGCCGAGAAAGGGAAACATTTCTCGAGAATCCGCCCTTGGCGATCTGCGTGAAGAGTGGTGAGTCCTTCGCTTCTCTGAAGATGCCATCCACTGACCCCGAGGACCAACAGCTACGCAACGGCTGACCCAACGACACCGCGACCAGCTGCGAGGCTTACCCATCTACTCAGCCGGCGGAAATGCTGCGTGGACAGCGACACAGCGAACTCAGCAGGGACCACTGCAGTACTGGCGGCTCGCCAAAGGCACAATCTCGCGTCCGCTAGAATGGTACATCCGGTGCCCTTCACTTTCCTCAGAGACGAAGGAGCCCAGAACAAGCCGAACTGCGATCACCCCATTGGCGAGCACATGCGGACACCGGCGACCATAAGAGTGAGGCGCAAGCAGTCTAAGGGAGGCGGCAGTCAGCATGGATTCCATCGGCTGTGTTCTTGCTGCATCGCCCTCATGCAATCCGGGGATTCGTAGCGAGCTACGGTCCCCGAACTGCGCTGTAAGGTGCCACATCCTGTGTCAAACGATACTTGCGGTTGGTCGCTCTGTGGGATATATGATGAGCGGGGGATATATAGACAGGCGTGCTTTGGCGACTTACGAGATGGTGGAGGAAGAGAAGCAAGGTAACCCTATGTCAGATAGCATTTGACCTTCCTAGTTTTTGACTCTTTTCTTCATCATAGCTGCCGCCGGACATGGCTACGCGCCGGACCTCTGTGAAGAATTAGGGCAGACTGGCGTCAAGTCATGGAAGACTGCACTGCTTACTCCACTACTGAACGCCTTGCCAAGATCAGAGAGGCTGACAAGTACTCTGAGGATCAGGTTTTTATGCTTTCGTATTGCGGTCAGTCTTTGTTTGTGATTATTGTAACTAAACGCTTGACTTTGCCCTCTTAGAGGTCGCGTAATTCCACTTATGCACCGTACGACACCGATGCTCCCCTCTTTCACTTTCCCGTTTCTTGATTTCCTGTTTAGCGCAAGTCACAGTAGTTGACTCTATCCGGAGAAAGATCAAACCTCTGTCAACCAGTGCGAAACATGAGGAGTACCTCGTTCACACTCAGCAGGCAAAGCACCCCGAGGCGATTTACAATGGCCACCCGCTGACCTCGCTGGGCCGAGCATTGCGATTTATCACCCCATATTTGCGATATTCCAGCGAGCCCTCAGCCAAACTCCTTTACCCGGCGACATTTCTCGTGAAGACTTAGATTCTGCGTCCTTATTGATCTCATTGAGCACGCAATACTATACCACAGAGCCGGAACGCCAATATGCTATCTCGTCAGTCGTGGAAGCCTTGCTAGGTCCTTCGTTTGTGTTCCGGGAGACTCTCATTCGTTGTGGAATCATTTCCTTCACGCTTGATGGGAACAGGCGAGCAAACTGTGGCCTCTTCAAACGTACCGATCCAAACGTAACGATCCCCAATGGGATTGGCTTGGGCGAATCAGACCCAATAGAACAGGCCGAAACGGCCTATCTCATCGTAGCGACTGCACCCGAGGTTTGTAATGCACTTATAAGAAGCATTCTTGGGCTAACTGGGTAGCAGCTCGAAAAACTACGCAATAGGTCCTGCATGCCTTCATTTTAGAAATCAGCGGCCCGTATCTTACTGTCTCTGGGACCATCTACGTTGACGGTGTTATCACGGAGCGATTGACCGACTTCATTTCTCTCGTGCCTTTGTTATCATCTCAAGCACCCCTTGGCCATGCTTCAGCCCACGACAAACTCACCTACCAAATTGCTCATTTTTTCCAATATCTCCGAGAATGTTCAGACCAGCTCGCTGCTGAGTACCTCAAAATGGACCCGATGGACATTGTCGACAAAAGAATCTTACTCCCATTTTTCGTCCTTCTCCAACGTATATCATGAATACAAACTCACCTATTTGCAACGACTTTCCCCTAGCCGTAGCGAGCGTACCGTATTCCTCGCGAAGGCGGAAAGAGCCGGCCAGCCAACGATAGACTGTATCGTCAAGTTTGCTTCGGCCTACTGCGCAGACGCCCACAATATCGTGCATGAGGCAGGTGCGGCACCGAGGCTCTTGTACTGCGAGTTTGTACCATCGGTCGGCAAGTTCTGTGTTGTTACCGAGTTTGTCCACGAGCAGGAGGGAGCGCGCCTGACATCGGCTGGTATCCAGACGTTGCAGAATGCTGTGGGCGCTTTGCACGCTCGCTCGTACGTCTTCGGTGACTTGCGCGACGGCAATATTCTTGTAGATGGACAGGGCAATCCAAACTTGATTGATTTCGATTGGAGCGGCATCGAAGGCAATGTCTTCTATCCGATGAATATCAACGAGCGCATCGGCTGGGTAAGGGGGGTGCAGGCAGGAGGGCGAATTATGCGCGATCACGACATAGCTATGTTGCGCAAGTTCCTTGACGCACAGAATCAGCCCTCGATCTCTAGCAGCGGCGCAACAAGACTTGCCGCAGAATAAGGATGGCCGTTTTGCAAAGAGCACAAGAAGCCTGGGGCTTGGAATACGGATGCTCCTTACAGGTGTCCATTCAGCTCAGCACTGTGTCGGCATGGGGATCACACCCTTCGTATATGCACATCAACTCGCAGTGACGCGAGGTCATTACTTATTAAATCAACGGTAGGCCTATTCTTAGCAATGTCGCATACCATACTTCCGCGAGTGTACAATATATCCATCCCTTATAAGGAAGCTATCTATGAATGTCTAGCAATCAAACGCAATGAAAGTCACTTGCGCTGTTCAGCGCCACCAAAAGTTCTGTGCACGAAGCTCAGGGAGAGATAACGTGACTTTCAACACCTTACTTCCTGATTGAGACCATCGGAATTTGCTGCGTCTACAACTTCCTCTCATGGCTGGTTTTTGCGACGATCTCGCGGAATACCCGCAATAGACTGGTGTATGGGCGCCCCAACTAGTGGAGACTCTGCGAATGGGGCTAAAGAGGCGAAAATCCAGGCGACGTCTGGGCCTCGCTACCCGTGAAGCAACCTCACAAGTGCCAATCGCATAAACATTACTTCGCATGTGAAGATGGATGCCCAATCATCCTGTATGCCATTTCATCGGCGCGAACAAAACAAACCCACGAATGTCGCCTTTATGACAGTGGTCATGATTCCGACTCGCTGATAGTACCGGAAATGCTGGGTTGCGGAACACCAAGAACCGGAAGGTGCTCTGAACAACGTAGAACCTCATCACTGGGATTCTAGTGTATGCATTTCCAGTTCTGAGCTTGGATGTGGCGCGACCGCTAGTGGATAGCATTGACTAGCAATCCACTACGCCGCGGGAGGACCTGGGTACGTTCCGTCAAGTCTGGTGTTCGTAACATAAAAGAGCCAACACATGTGTGTTTGCTCCTCAGATCACCCAGCTCCGACAGAACAATCATGCAGTCGACTCAACTCTTCTTTTGGCTGCTACTCGGAAGCATCCTACCCGCTCTACTACATGCGTCCGTCGTACTCCCTAGAGGCGTTGATGTGAAGAAGAGCGCGAAGCATGCTGTGGCCAGTGCGGCCAGTGCGACCAGCTCGGCCAGTGCTGCTGTCAGCGTTGACGCGATGGCTACCACAGCCATCTCATTAATTTCCAAAAACAACAAAGAGAGCAAAGTTACCAGCACAGCGGTGGAAGTACCGTCCGTCAGTCCTCTGCGCCTTTCACTGAATGCATTCATCTGAACCCGATCTAGACACCGCACGCGGCGATCCAACAGGTGATCAACGATATGCACGGCCGAAATAAGTCAATTAGTTTGGTCGCGGTCAAGTTGTTTACCCTCGTCGAGGGTGATGCTACATTGGGTGTTCCTGGCAAAGACTGGGGGACCGTCTGGATTCCCGTTCAGCCTTCGGCATCCTCGCCAAGTATAACGTATGTGTCTTCCTTTTTCTATGATGGTTGGCCCGTTCCTTACACCATGACTCCTTCATCCTCCATAGTTATGTGGTGTGGTGGACGAGGAAGCGAGGCGGGACGTTGATGATCACAAACCCAGCCAGTCCAGACGATGTATGTGCCCCACACTTCTCACCTCTTTGCAGATCAGTAACTCGTCCATCCAAGTGGGCAGAGTTTCCAAAGGAGTGAAGGTGGGGGTCCCTATTGGACCAAATAAACAAATAGTCTACACATGAATGTGTAGTCGCCAAAAGCTCGAAAATATGATACGGATGGTTGTGGTGCATGGCTCCGGCGTAGTTGACAATCCCTACCTCCCCGTCGGGGGACCTGTTCAAATGATACTGCTCCTTACCCCATACTTTTTCTTGTCCCAGTTTCCGGTTCTGAATGGGCTGGCGCCGAGGGTCAAGCGAAATTTAGCTCCTACCATGCAGTATACTTCCACGAGCTCGCGTCGACGGCAGGGAAGAACTTTAAATCACTGCGGGGTGGAGGTTTACTTGCATGGTGCTACAGACAATCAATTGCTTTGAGTAGAAACGTGGGAAGGAAAGAGTGTTTATTTGGACTTCACCTGGTACCATCATGGTTGACCACACCTGCATCATCATTGACCGGAGCAATGACGAGGCCCTTGGATTTTCCTTTCTCTCGAGTGTAGCCGATTCTACAGTAGCGGAGCTTTTGGATAACACCAAATCCAGCTGGCCAGCGCGATCACCAGCAACAAGGCCACAAGATTTGTCGCAGAACAAGGCGGCAGTTTTGCAAAGAACACAAGAAGCCTGAGGCTGGAATATGCGCGGCGACACTTTCACGCTTCTCACAGGCGTCCATTCAATCCAGAGCTGTGTCGTTATCCTATGGCATGGGTATCAAGCCCTTCGGATATGAACATCAACTCATGGTGATGCTGGAAGAAGATGGTTGTACGATCGAGGTCTGACTTATTAAATCAACGGTAGGCCTATTCTTAGCAATGTCGCATACTTCAACTCTATTTATTAGCCATGAGTACTTGATTTGTACAACATTCCACCAGGAATCATTGATTCGACTTATTCTGCGCCTAATACATACTCGACCGCCTCGAAGGAAAGTGTCTTCCAGTCGTGCGCGAGTGTGCTGTATGTCCTGAACTGCGGGTCGGCGAGCAAGACGTGCATATGCAGATGTCCAACACTATGGTGAGGATGCGAATGGAACGCATACGCAACATCCACCCGGTTCTTGGTCGCTCTTGAACACTCTAATTTTCTCAAGGTAAAAGTCCTGGTTCCCCAACGCACACCAATAAAGGGCACGCCGGCTCACCAAGAGGTAAGGCCCAGCCAGACAGTACACGCCGTTAAGCGGACCGCCCAGCCAGGTCTGAAGTTCAACTACGAGCTTTTTAACTGCAACAACTTTAATATACGCTATTGGAGCTGGAATTACCGCGGCTGCTGGCACCAGACTTGCCCTCCAATTGTTCCTCGTTAAGGGATTTAAATTGTACTCATTCCAATTATAAGACCCAAAAGAGCCCTATATTGTTATTTATTGTCACTACCTCCCCGTGTCGGGATTGGGTAATTTGCGCGCCTGCTGCCTTCCTTAGATGTGGTAGCCGTTTCTCAGGCTCCCTCTCCGGAATCGAACCCTTATTCCCCGTTACCCGTTGAAACCATGGTAGGCCTCTATCCTACCATCGAAAGTTGATAGGGCAGATATTTGAATGAAGCATCGCCGGCACAAGGCCATGCGATTCGAGAAGTTATTATGAATCACCAAGGGAGCGGCGAGCCGCGTTGGTTTTTTATCTAATAAATACACCCCTTCCAGAAGTCGGGGCTTGATTGCATGTATTAGCTCTAGAATTACCACAGTTATCCATGTAGCAAGGTACCATCAAATAAACTATAACTGATTTAATGAGCCATTCGCAGTTTCACAGTACAAATTTGTTTATACTTAGACATGCATGGCTTAGTCTTTGAGACAAGCATATGACTACTGGCAGGATCAACCAGGTAACTACTTTCCTGAATGCGTCTCGGAAGAGATGCAAAGCCTAGTACTAGACGGCATACGCCATCTTTCCCAAGCTGGAGTTCATTATGGTGAATAAGATTCAACCGATACAATTGACGTCGTTCAGCCTTGCGGCCTACTAATCGATCAAAAGCTTCGATCAAATTGCCTTGTTTCTCGATCTCACAAATTTCAGATCACTTCTCCCTGTCATGTTAATAACAGAGATCGTAACCTTCAGAGAGAACTATCAGTAACCGACACTGGAAGCGCACAGTCACGACGGATTCTCAAGTAGTTAATTGCAATAGATTTAGCTATAAGCAAGTAATCCACTTTCTTCATCATTGCGAGCACCGCAAGCGGTACTCGACTTGAATTGACCATAGAAGCTCGAAAGCCACTACAATGGACAGGTTCAGCTTTCCAAGTCAGTACGCCCTGATGATCAGGTATATCAATGACTCGGTCCAGCGTAAACCAGCAATCCCTTTAATAACCAGTGAAACGTACTAAACAGGCGTTAAGCCAGTGTTCAACTTCACTGTAACGAACAATGAGGCGTACTAAACTTGTGTTCAACCCCAATGTAATCCAGAAAGCGTACTCGAGTGAATCTCAACTACCAACAGTGTGATCGTGTATTGATTCAGTTCTTTCAGCTCTCCTTCATGTAATAGGAAAACGACCCCCCAAGGTTCCCACGGGTACCGTTCTGCGCGAGGCGTGAAAATCGATGTCCACTAAATCGCGTCCGAATTTGATTGGCTCAAAAACGCTGTCAGGACCTTGGGATATGTTTACATATACCCGTACCATGTTTTATTTTTATTGAAACAGCTTTGTGGAAGCTCAGTAGCCCGATATTTGGACATTTGAGGTCACTTCAGAACACTACAAATGACGTTCCCACGGTCAATACAGACACTATCCGTCACTAATTGTGTAATGATCACTCTTGTTCAACATCACAAACTTTGTGATCGAGTTAACTGGGTCACTAATTTGTAATGACTTTTCTTGTTCAACATCACAAACTTTGTGATCGCATTTTTATGGTCACTAATTTTGTAATGATCATTCTTGTTCAACATCACAAACTTTGTGATCGAGTTAACTGGGTCACTAATTTGTAATGACCTTTCTTGTTCAACATCACAAACTTTGTGATCGCATTTTCATGGTCACTAATTTTGTAATGATCATTCTTGTTCAACATCACAAACTTTGTGATCGCATTTTCATGGTCACTAATCTTGTAATCACCTTTCTTACTTAACATCACAAACTTTGTGATCGCATTTTCATAGTCTCAAACTTTGTAATGGTCTTCCCTTGTGAACACATTTCCAACTCCTACACCTTTGTATTGAATGTTGCTGCTTCCAATAGGATATTTCGAGTTTATTGGCTATTAATGAGACCTAGACAACCCTGTTTATCCATACTACTAGTCCGACTTTACTGATCTTTGATAGTAATGATACCACTGCATGTTTATGGTCCGAGTTAGTGAGAAAATTACTGATGCTATTTCATTGTTATAGCTACAATTCAATTGATTACTAGTCCGACTTGCAGGTTTCTCAGTACTGACATCTGATGACCATTGTCACCAGAAAACATCAAACTCAGCAATGACCTTCTTTCAATGCTATGGTTATGATCTGACTTAGTGAGCCCTTCCATGTCTATTATACTTGGTAATCTCTATTCCAACTTTGTAATACATGGTTATATCTATTTAGTATTGGCAATTCCGACTTGACTGACTTATTAGTGACCCTACTATCTATAATTACCAACACTATTACCACTCTTTTCCGACTTGCCTAGGTTTTGAGCCTGCCCTAAACCTAGCTAACTTCAAGGACATTCAAGGCCTGCCCTAAACATCAAAACTGCGTTCAATATATCCATCTATCTGATACATTTATTCATAGTACTAACTGACTAACTGTCTAATTATCATATCTGACTACCTGTCTGTCTATTTATCTATCTTACTACCTGTCTGTCTATCTATCTATCTATCTAACCATTTATCTCATCAATCATCTATTCATCTATTCCATCAACCTCTCCCCACCACTTCCTCACATCCCCCCTTCCTTTATCAGAAGAGAGGGCATCATCTCCCCTCCCCTCATTTAATCTGGATGCTTCTATGCACCCAGAATGGGGTTCCCTCCCTGTGAGGTAGGCCCAGCATACAGGCCCCCCACCTTTGGACTAAGGGTAATAAATGTCAATGAACATCATTTAGAAATAGTAAATCATGTTCATTGACATTTATTATCCTTAGTCCAGGTCATGAGCAACTGAGGGCGTGCTCACAACCTTCTATGTCTCCCCTTCCTATAATAGGGAAATGACCCTCCAAGGTTCCCACGGGTACCGTTCTGCACGAGGCGTGAAAATCACTGTCCACTAAATTGCGTCAGATTTCTTTTGCCTCAAAAACACTGGCAGATCCTTGGTATAGGTCTATACATGCATGGACCATGTTTTATTTTGGCAGTACAAGGGTTTGAGCATGCTGTATGGCCACATCTTTCCGATTTTTGGCTCCTATTTACACGTTCCCACAGTCAATAAACATCTACATTTTGGTCAGTAATATGCAGCCTGCCCTAAAGCTCATTAGAAAATAGTAATCACAACTCTGACTTCACTGATACCTCTATTCTACAACATTATTTTCGCATTACAAAGCCTGCCCTGAAGCAAACAATACTAGTTCAACTTCACTGCATTGTACTGACCCACTTTATGTTTCTTATTTCAACTCTAACTACTATTACAATGTCACTAATTTTCTTACTTACTTTACTTTACTTAGTTTATAATCGAATTTTTCGAATCACTAAATTTGTAATGATCTTTCTTATTTCAAGTCACAAACTTTGTAATCGAGTTTAATTCGTAGTGATCTTCTTTATTGGGTCACTAAATTTGTAATGGCCTTCCTTTTTTCAGGTCACAAACTTTGTGATCGTGTTTACTGCATCACTAATTTGTAATGACCTTCCTTACTTCAGGTCACAAACTTCGTAAGCGTTGTAATAACATTCCTTACTTCGAGTCACAAACTTTGTAATCAAGTCAAGTTTCGTTCTTATTCTACATCACTAAGTTTTGTGATCAACCTAAGTAACTTTGACTTCTCTACAACCCCCGGGCAAAAACCACAGCACCCAGGATTCCCGCGTGGTCCCCC